AAACGATCTTATAAGAGACCTGAATCTCTCAAAGGAATCCGCTGAATTACTTGCATCCAGATTAAAAGAAAAAAATCTACTTTGTCGAGGTACTAATATTACATTTTATCGTAAAAGAGATAAGTAATTTATCGTAAAAACTTAGGTGATTGTAGTGAAGAACAGGGGGAAAGATTCCACCAGGATATTAAAACTATGGAAGATCGTTATCAAGGACGATGGGATAGCCACATGATGGCGGACTACTGCTGGAGCCTTCAGCGAGAATGCCCTAGTAAACTCCATTCTAGAAAATCGTATAAAAGATGTTGGCCTGTGTAATAGATGTGTGGTGTTTGCAGATATCCGTGGTTGAAATCATTCATAACTAACATATAAGAAATAAAATTTTACACCATCAGAATTATGTTTATTCTGGTAGTGTAGAATTTTATTTTATTGATATCTGAAATAATAAGCATTCAATTCTTGGATATCTTTGAATTGAATTCATAGAAGGTATGCATTTTAAATTTAGTCAGTACGTTAATTTCAGTTAATGCCGTTTCTGAGAATCAAATCATCTAGGTAACTTTGTCGAATATTTTATTTCGATCATAGATATTTTAATTTCCAATTCGTCATCTTTTATTATAAATCACCAACAACTTAAGGGTAAATGACAACAATTTTGATGATAACTAACAGAAACATGAACATGATTTGAAAACAATGAATTCAAATTAACACACTTGGCTTAAATCTCACTAAATGTATTAAAAACTCTACATAATTGTCAGAAACACTTTGCTTAACCTTCGATTCTCAACTAACTTTTATGCCATATATCAATGCTACAGTAACCGCTGTCTGTAGAGTATATAATGTGGTTTTATTATTCGCATTGGTAAAGAATTTAGCAATATATAAACTCTGAAAATATTGAATTGTGCTTTCGTAAGATCTAAACTTGAATACGAATCAACATTCTGGAATCCTGGTTATCAGTTACATATTGATCAACTGGAGTCTATTCAACGAAAGTTCCTGAAACTTTTGAGCTTCAGAATTGATGCAATATATCGACCTATAGGCATACAACATGAAACGCTTACAAGTCGACGTAATGGGGATACACTCAGTGCGCGAAGGAAATGCCATGCAATAATCTTGTTGCATAAAATAATTAACAATAAAATGAAATGTCAGGAATTATTGCCTAAGCTTAATTTTATTGTTTCAAGAATTTCTTTCAGAAGCGAATTCACGTTCTACCTTCCACCAGCTAGAACGAATATTTAAAATTTTCTCCATTGCACACGATGTATGAAGAATGTAATATTTTGGGAGCCAAGGTGGATATTTTCAACTGTTATGTTACTGATATTACGGCAAGTATGTTTCTGGATATGAATAATCGCTGCTAGAACAATCATGTATGTGTCTTCAAGTACATGAATCATATTCACGCATATACTTGTATGTGTGTATATATGTATATTGTGAATGTATATGTATGTGTGTGTTTATCTTTATATGTATGTAGAAGTTTGGTTCGCATTCAATTTTTTTTTATTCCTATAATTATATTTAATTTTTCAGTTGTGATTTCATATCACACATTCTTTCTTTTTAATTGAACTTTAAACTTTTAAAGAACAAAATTGAAACTTTTGAACTTTTGTACTACCAAATTTGTCATCCCTGTCTTGTAATTAGGACCGTCCTGTTAAACAATGTATGTTGAATAAAAATAATTGAAATAAAATAAATAAATGAATAAAAATAATAAATATATATGTTTCGGGTGGTGCCAAATGTGTTAATTTTAATTTATTGCTTTTAACACAATGTTTCACCAAGAGATAAGCGAAACCTTCGTGTCGTTAATTGAACATCATTCAATGAAATTCTTTATGAATGAACACTTTTGAATGAAGTATCTCTTACATTAAAGTAGATGAGATTTTTTCAATGTCGAAATAATGAAATGTCCGCTATCAACAACTATGAAATCGATCGCATCGTCATCTCAAACAAAAATACAAACCAAACGTTCCTCTATCATATGATTTGTTACCTTTTCGTTTTACTGGTCGAGTCATTTGTGAGACCCCTCACTCTAGTGTGACGCAACATATTTCGTAATTTTACATCTAAAAATTATTGAATTTGAAAAGCAACTCCAAAATTAGTTCCATTTTCACTTAAATCATCTGTCCATAATAAAAACGTCAAGTCAACCATTCAGAGAATTGATCAAAACAAAGATCGATTACTTATATAAATGAAAGAGAACTTAATCATCTTGAGACATTGATGGACTTTGAAAGCATTCCTTTGAGATTTTTATAACTGACCTACCAGCCATATCGTCCTTTTTTGGGTTGTTAACGTTATTAGTATTCTTCGTATCAATATACATTTAATGTATCCATATGTTTTTGAAAATCACACCATCTAGGTAACTGTGTCCAATGTTTTATTTCAACCATAGCTACATTCAATTTCTAATTCGTCATCTTATATTATAGTTGACTGCCAAGTTAAGGTCAAACGACAACAAATATAATGATAAACAAATACCATTAACATGAACATGATAACATTATTGAATGAAATTCTGTTTCATTAACTACTTTTGAATGGAGGTTCTTTTTCATTAAATCAGATGAAGTTTTTTCCATGTTGAAATAATGAAATGCTCGCTATCAACAACTATGAAACCGATCAAATCGTCATCTCAAACAAAAAATACAAACCAAACGTTTCTCTATCATAAAATTTGTTACCTTTTCGTTTTACTTGCCAAGTCATCTCTTCTAATTTACAACGGAACTGTAAACGATGAGAAATTTTCCATCTCTACTTTTCTATGGATTTTAAGTTGAGTCTGGCTGAGGGTCGCCACGCTCGATCCTTTCATCGAAAGACATTTCGATCCACTCTGGTTTAGTGTGAATAGTTATTTACTTTATTGCATTCGAGTGATTCTGCTTCATTAGTTCGTGATTTTTCACACAAAAACGATTGGATTGATGGTAATCATTATATCCGTTTATTAAACTATGTTTTGCTGTCAAGTGTCATTGGAAAAGAACAGTGAATAGACTTTTATAATGAGACAATCTCTGATGTCGAATAGATTTTTGGTTTTATTGGTGCTACGGAAATGATTAAATAGTTTTTTCATTTCAATTTCATGTATAATAACGATAATAATTAAGATAATAATAAGCATTTATTTCCAACAGTTAATTACCCAATTACAGAAAAACACATAATGAATTAACAAAATGCAAAATTTAGTGAATTATACCAACAATGATATGAATATACAATATTGGACAATAATAATAGTAAAAAAGAAGTTCACCAAATATGATAATCTGAATCTGCAATATCAATACCTAAATATTCAATTAATTAACTGAATCTCTAAACAATGCGAAATAACTGAACAGGAAAACAAAACTCTCAAAGAACTCAAACCGAAAAGAAATCACGATACGTCAATGGTTGAGATTTGAGTTTACATTAATGATGGATTTTAGTGAATCCCAGAGCAAATCAAACCAGAGTAATACCTGATTTGCAGTAAAACATGCAAAGCTAAACGGCGATTGCGAGAGAAGATTGGTTCTGTGGGTTCTTAAAAAAAAAGTCTGACTTGTTCTAGAATCCTCTAGCAAAATGCCTGAGAGTGAAATCAGATCTAACTTAATGAATAATGATATTGGAGTACCACAAGGTTCCATTTTGTGGCCTATATTGTTTATTTTGTACATTAATTACATCAGAAATGCGGTAGGAGACAAGGTGTTTCTATACACAGATGATGCTACAGTGGTTGCACTAGTGAAACAGAATCGACTTTGCAAGATAACATTCAGAATGAGTTGGATATCCTGCAGAATTAGTCCAATATAAATTCTTTACATATAAATGAAACAAAAACTATGTTCACGGTTTTCAGAAATATATAAACCTATGTGAAGCTGAATAACACTGAATTGACCCAAAGTAGCAGTGTCAGATTCCTGGGAATTGAAATGGATGAACAACTTAAATGGGGGACGCACTGTGACAATGTGTATATCAAATTAAATTCATTATTCTACCTTTTTAAGGGACTGAGTATTGACATTGACGCAGCCTATACTCGTATCTGTATACTATGCACATATATGCTCTAGGCTTTCTTATGGCATCGTTTTTTGAGGTGCATCATCAAGAAGCAGTAACGTGTTTTTGTGTCAGAGAGAATAATTAGGTGTCTGGCTGGACTTCCCAAAAGGAGCTCTTGCAGGACGGCTTTTAGGTCCATGAATATACTTACGCTTACTTCCATGGATTTACTGGAGGTAGCTACACAAATCCACAAAAGTCAAAACAATTTATTACACATAGTGACCAACACAGTATGAAACAAGACATAAAGATAATCTTGTTATGCCAATCTATAAATTCAAAATTGGAATGAGATCACCAGTGTACATGGGTCTGGAAATATATAATAAAATCGGCACCGAAATTATTATATTATACCGAAAAGGACACTATTTCGGTATTTTCAGATCTAGATTAAGTAAATTTTTAGTTGTTGAATGTTATTACAGTCTCAATGAGTTTTTGTCAGAGTAATGTTTAATTGATTAATTAGATTTTTCATTAACTTGGTGCTGGTTTGTCAGCCCGTATATTTTCTTTTTTTCGTTCTTTTATATGACCTTTCTTCAAAATATGCAAATCGACTCTAATAAAAAATTTACATTTCATAATCATAAATCCTCAACTGATGATTTTCATAAATTATAATGAGTTGTATATTAGTTGGCTTAGTGGTCAGTTATACCATTTTGAGTAAAGCTTATGAATCACAAAATTCTTTCAGAATTTTTTTTTTAATTCAGTGGACCTACAGTTTAACGCCTTCTGAACGGCCATTGGGATTGTAATCAATATACATTATCTATCATACTATCATTATCAAAACTACTTAAATCATAGACAAACATACATGCCTTCACAGGGGCTCGAACCCGAGTTCTACAGCACCATAGGCGGATGTTCTCCCGACTTAACCACGTAGACCGGCTTTTTTAGAATTTAGTTAAATCTTCTAATATTTCTGATTTTGCTACAAAATATACTAATGCGTCAAAGGCAATAACTGAAAATTTCTTATTTGAGAGGTTTTCAAACTGAAATGTTTTTATTGAAATTCAGTGTTGTCTTCAACTCAAGATTGAGTTCCAAATTGCACTTAAGAACGGAATTTGTTGAAATGATATCAGTGTATTACCACCTACTTATGATGATTAAACTATGCATCAATCATCATTCAACATTGTATCTACAAACACTCACTGAAAAGCTAGATTTCAGTTCCACATAAACATCTGAGTAGATCCAAGAAAACTACGGCAATATCATCAATTTTATCCGCAATCGTGGCTAAGATGACGCATTTAAAGTCAATCACACTTCATCGTTGTCGAGCAGGGGGTAGAGAGAGTAACCGCTCTGTGCTCGCCGTTTCGAAAATCATGTATAATATGTCATGTCCCACAGAGTTCATTAACTGATATTGCTTCGAGAAATGGCCAAATACTCGGCTTTTCTTCGTTTATGCCTCCGCTATTAGACAATGCAGGTATACTTGGTACTTACTAATTCAATTCAACGCAAATGGTTCTGGAAATGTGGAATTCATTCAACTATGCTGTTCGAATTAATTGGGACAAAGGATAAAAAACAATGTTTCCGTAAAATCTTACCTTTAATGATGTAAATAAATACAAAATGGCGTAAATTCTTCTTATTAATATGTAGTATGTCCTCCTTTCGCAGAAATAACTTCTTGAACTCGTCTAGGCATCGATTCCACTATCGTAGCGCATATTTTCTTCAAATCGTCATCATGAAACCACACCTGAATTGCACTTATAATCATTTTTTCTCCTGTAGTGCAATCCATTTTGGCCAGTCGTTTCTTTAAAATTTTCCATAAATTCCCAATGGGATTGAGATCAGGTGAATTCCCCGGCCAATCGAGTACTTTCATTTCATTCTCACGCATAATGGCCTGCACTTGTTAGGAATTGTGGCAGGGAGCGAGGTCGTGCTGAAATGTTTCATCAAACGTTTCCATGAATGGGACAATCCTGGTGCGTAATATTTCCATATATTTCACAGAGTTCATCATCCCTATTATAGGAGCTAATCGTCCAGTGCAATTGGTTATGAAAAAACCCCAAAACATTTCTTTCGAAGGATATTTTACTGTTTGCTGGATGTGATCAGGCCACAAAGTTTTCCCATCACTTCGTCTAACAACACTTGAGTTGTACCTTTGAACAAACAAATGTGTCGCATCACTAAAAACCACTTTCTTCCAGTCTTCCACAGTCCACGCACGGTACTTTTTGGCCCATGCCAAACGTCTTCATCATTTTCTGGGTAAGTAGTTGCTTTCTTCTTGGTCTTCTTACCTTATGGTCAATCTCCAGCAGTCGTTTTCGCACAGTTGAGGTGCTATTTCTAATTACCAATTTGTCTGTTCTTGGAGTAGTTTTGCGTTGGTGGTCACAGTTTCCTTTCTTTCTGGAGACGATGAGCCCCCTTCTTTAAATGTTTTCAAAATTCTCGAAAGGCTGGACTTTCCCACACCAACAGCTTCAGCTATATCTCTTACAGTCAATGATGTGTGTTCATTAAGCGCGATAATTTTGGAACTCTTCCTCGGAGTGATATTCATCTTTAGACAAGACAATACAGCACGTATCAAAATTGAAACCACCAACTGTCGCACCGGCAGGCTCACAACTGATTTGCTGGCGAGGTAAAACCAGTCAGAATGAAAATGATGGTCAAGGTCGAACCCTCACGTCACCTCAGGTAGTAAACAAGCAGGTGTCAGGATGTTTGGGCCACCCTGGTGCTCACATACTTACTAGAGTAACTCAAACGAAGAAAAAAATGTTTGTCCCAATTAATTCGAACAGCATAGTAATTATAAAAATCTCTTCATCTAGGAGCCGTTCAAGTATTACGTATGCAGATTTATCACAATTATCTATCCTCTATACCTGTCAGCAAAGGTGAGAAAAACTTTACCCTTCATTCCAAGCTCACGTATACATCGGTATATGCATTTTTCTTTTGCTAATCTCTTTTTTATTGTTTCATGAGAGGTCGCTCAAATATTACGTGAGCACTACTGTTAGGCGATGAAGTGCTTTTGCTCTGCTTATTTTCATATCTAGTCAAAATTCATTTACCATAGAACCATTTCACCTAAAAACTTCAAGGGGCAACACGCAGATACAATACTCCATTTGGTTTATGGAGTTCACACATTTACTACACTTGCTATTGAATTTGACATTCACTTCGACTCCAATGCAGTTATTATTAGGGTATGTGAACGAAGGAGTTTGACTAAAATCATTTGAATTATATTATGTTCTTTGTCATATTTCATTTCATTTTATTATTTAGTTATCAGTAACTTTTTCAGTTTTTCAGACTGGATTTAGTTCTTTGTTATATTTGTCATTTGGTATAATTCAGTGTTATATTATTATTTCCTATGATTGGGTATTATATCTGTTGAGAAAGAAGAATTTATTTTTATTATAACTTTCTGACCATAAGTGCTAAGCCTGTATTCTCATTTCTAGAATTGCTGCTGCCCTTGAATCATTAAAAAAACGTATAGTTGGAGAGAAAAATGAGTACACCAATATTTAAGTAGGCATGAGTCGGTGGTAAAAGCTTTGTCTATATTTGATGACAAAGAGGTGGAGGGTCAAAAGGTTATGCTAAATCTGCTCACAATGATTGGAGATCGTCTGAACAGCAGTTATAGTTCTAGATATGAGAAAATAGGTTTAGGAATGTGGCCAGATATCATCAGAAATAAGCAGAACAAAGAACCTCCTGCTATCATATAAAACTTACGTAATACTTGAACTGTTCCTCTGTTTAACGTATATGTCTAAGCAAAATACTAAGCAGAATAAGAAACTTCAAAATTTTTGAGAAATGTTCTGAGAATTAGTTTCTTTCAGTTGAAATCACACTGGAGCTTGAATTTGTTGAGCTATGCAGATTCCTCACTATATTGCAAAGCTTCCATTGGATTCAAGTTGAAGTTGAAATTCTGAAACAAATGGGAAAAATTTAATGCAGGGAAAATTTATTGAAATATCAATTGGAATCAATCAAAATAAAATCAGGTAATTTAAGAACCGAAGTTTATATTAGATTGCATGATTATCTAATGCTGAAGAGAAATTAGGCTCAATGAAATGATTGAGTGTTCCCTGAAAAACATAAAAAGTACAGTGGTAGTTGAAACAAAAAAGGTTAAGTTCAAGCTGAGAAAATTTAAAACTAGTAAAGGAAAAGCAGATTCACACTACAATAATTCAAATTCAAATATAACATTAATGGTGAGTAATGAGAATGATTAATGGAATATTTCAATTTTGCAATTCCCCGAAAAATATTATTGATGATTAATTGATAAGATCTGCAAAATATTTTGAGTTCGAGTAAAAATTGAATTGATTCATTAAGTTATGAAGAAATTATCAAAATTCAAATATGAAATTAATGATTAATAGGTGAAAGCTGAAATTAAATATGTGTCATTTCAGAAGTAACTAATAAATGAAGAATATTGAAATCATTAATTATACAGTTAATACAAATGAGTATTTCGTTCAGGCTGAAAATATATTCAATTAGTAAGTGAAAATAGAGGAGATATGACAATAAATTCAAATCAAATAAATAGTTCAAATATGAAATAAAAAAAATGATTGAATGAATCAAAATGAAATTAAGATGATAAGATATAAGTGATAAGAATGTTATCGCTTATGAACTGAATTGATGGTTGGAATTGATCAGAAAGGGATTCACACTATGTGTTAAAAATCAATTCAATAGAAATTAATATCTCCGAACATGCAAGAATTTGAAAGAATTCGAAGAAAACTGCTGTATCGTAGCAAAACGAAACATAACCAACAATTATCGCATATTTTATGGAACTACACGAAAGAAGACCTAAAATCTTGAACAATATACTTTACTACAACCAAATATTTAATGCCGAAAAACGACGAGTTCAAAATATCATCTGAAAAACTCGTCGGAAGATGAAAGGTTATACGTGGGTAAAATGGATATTGATCAAGAATGTTTGTAGGTCGAAATCAAATAAAAATCCAACTCTGTATACAAACATTTTTGCATTGAATACGAAAGTAATCATAAAAACATATCATCAACTTGCTCCTAATAAGCAAGTGGCTAATTGTAGCAGTCAATACCAAAATTGATTTCTATCTGTTTTGATACAATTTCTCGGGCATTACCTTGAAAAATATGTGTATAATGTCGAACAAATATGGGCATCTAGAGTTGACTTAGATATTTCAGAAAACGCTAATCGTGTTTACACTTGAGGTTAATTTCGAAGAGATGACTACAAATTAGCATTTCAAAGATTTTAGTCGTACAAAAAGCTGTCCCTATTTGTTTCGAAGCCTTGTTTGGTCATTACCCGTATATATTTCCGACTGTGACGATGCAGTCCAAGCATCATCGCCAGGAGCGTATTTAATTGTATTTCATACTAGTTCATAAAATTCAACATTTTGTCTGTTGAATTCTGTGGTTGATAATGTTTACTTGTGACTTGTTTCTATTAAATCTACCCTCAAAATTTTTTTAGCAGCTCGAGTTACTTCGTTTCTGATTTCTGTAATTCAAGAGTATATATTAATCGATAACAGACGTGTTTTAGTGTGTTAAGATTAGTATCTGGAGATTTTGCGTAATGAGTAGTTCAAGGTGACGATGTTTAAACAATCCAGATCATGTTTGCTATACATGCGAAGAAAATGACTTGCACGATTTCAGGAAAGTTATATCGGAGTTGGTGAAAAATGCCTATTTTGAGTATTTTGGGATGCTCTTGGATAAACATTTGTCTTCGGGTGCCAACTGTGTTTTTTAGTCGTGTGCAGAATGTTCACGAATAGTGGAATCATGGAAAAGTGGTGAAGAAAAGCCTT